CAAAGTGGCTTGGTTTTCAAGTTTTTTTTTTAAACTTTAATTGGCATTTATTTTATGCTTAATTTATTTCCATGCCATAAGTTTCTGTTTCTTCAGTCTCTTCTGTGCAACCTCCTCTTCTGGCTTCGGAACAATCTGTTCCTTTTCGTGAGGATCATCTCAGTGTGGCAGGGGGAGCTCATGCACAGGTTGACCTGACCATGAGCTCTGCAAGTACGGCGGCACATTCACCTGGATATGAATCTACATCTAAACCCTTACCTCCAGCAAAAATTCAGGCCACCAACCCTGTGTCTAGCTCCACTGTTTGGCCTGGGCACACCTACCAACTCCACCATTGTAATGGGAATGGCACACACTACTTCTTCAAGGTGACATCTTTCAAATACTTGGTGGCTTTTTGAATATGCATACTCTTGATGGCCTGGGCAGTTTCTCAAGTGTTCTTAAAGTGAACACGAAGATTTGAACCTCTCGACTTGCATGATTTTGTAGGGTTTCCAGGTCAAGAGAGTAGTGAACCATTTTCACAGGTTACCTCTGGCCACTTACAGGAAGAGCTAGTTTTCAAGTTTGATACACTTTTTTCTGATGCCTTCTTTGCTTCCTTCCTTTCTTTCCCCTAACAAAAGTTACAGCAGTATTTTTAATCATTTGGTCATAAGCTAAACAGCTTATGAGTCACAAACATTCTTCCCAGAAAGGTGTACACTACAGACAAAACAATTATGGATTTTCAGAGAGTTCACGAACCTCCCTGACATTCATCTATAAATCCAAAAGGGATCTGTAGATTCTGGGTTAACAGCTTCTGGTGCATGATCAGCTTTCACAGGTTGTCTGATTGGGTTATTCCCTCTTCTAAGAAACTGGATATAATAGGCTAGGGGCTTGCTCAAGAGAATTTTCAGTAGAGTGACCTCAGTGTTCACACTCCATGGCTATGCACATGTTCCTTACCTACTACCTGTCTAGTAATCTCTGAACTAGAGATAGGCTCTGGGAGCTTGATTCTTAGCACAGTTACCTACACTTTCCCTCTCAGCCAGGCAAGAGAGTGCTAAAGTGAATTCAACTTGTAACTGTGAGTTCTCTAATTCCAAATTTGGTCTAGTTTGAAATACGTACATTAGTGATTACTTCTATAACTAGCTAATGGTAATCATTGTTATTACAGGAGGGCAGCTCAAAGAATGTCATCTGTAGTTCAACAGCAGGAATACAGCTCTGGTGACCCTCCACATTGGTTTGGCTATGACTCCAATGGCACCCCTCTCGGTGACTCGGATATCATAGTGAAAGATTCATACAGTAGTGAAGAGGAAGCAAACTATCTTCAGCCGAAAGCAAGAAAACACAAAATGTAGAACTTGATGCAAGTATTTTTACTAGCTGGATCTCAATAACAATGTAAACAAGCAGTCATCTACTGTTCTTATTTAAAAACCAGTGTCTCTAAATACATCATAAATTCCTTCTAAATAATTACTATCCCTAAACTTAATCCCACCGATAATTTGATAAGATGATCAAATCTTAAGGTTAAACTTCTGGGAAACAACACTGAGAGATGACTCTTTTTTGTAACAATGAATTTAGAATTTCTCTCCAGACAGGAAAAGAAAGCAGAGATGGTCATAACAGTCAAAGTCATAGTCAAGGTTTAAGCCAGGGCAATGACTTTAAGAATCTGCAAGGCTTTATTATAAAAGTCAGAACCGTACATTTTCAAAGGAAAGAAGGCTTTTTTGTGATTTCCAGATATTTATCAACAAAAGAGAGATAAATGAAAATTAACTCTAAATTCAACACTTAACAGTGTTGAAAACAAGAGAAACAAGAAGTATCTGAAGAGAAAGTATGTTCCAGTAATGTCTCAGAAAGATCTTTTTAATGAAGTTTGCATTATGGAAGAATTTTTTAACTATGCTATTCCAAAAAATGAGATACTCCCTCATTTTTTTGCTAGGAGACATGGGCTGTTAATTACAAATCTATCTTTTAGTTTTTAGTAAGCTTTCATCCATGGATTTTTCTGTTATCTGATGTTATATGACATGGATGTTGATAGAGTCCAGGAAAAAGCACAGTTCTGTTCTGACTGCCACACACAGCTGTGTCAGTGATCTTAGACTAGTCTTTTAACTTTTATGTTTCCTTGATTGTGGTTAATCCCTGTTTTTTATACTATAAGTTTGAAATAACTTAAGGGATATGAAAGTCATATTGAAAAGTTTTAAAAGAGCTGCACAAACTCTTATTATAGTGTATTTTGCATTAGCTAGATGTTTTAATAATTCTCCTCTCTGCTTTTGAAAGTGGTGGAAAAGTTCCGAGAGTACACAATCTGCAGAGCAGGAACTATTAAGATCTGAGCCAAAACACTTGTGAGTATAGTAAGGGTGAGATTTTTAACAAAATTTGGAGATTTCTGGCAGCTGCATAGAAGTTGGCTTCAGAAGTCTGACTCCCCAGTGTCTCCTCCACACAACTGGAGACTTATAAAAGAGGCAGCTGCTTTCTAAAGAATGGACACCTGCAAGGAGAAGACCAGTCTGAGGGAACATGTTCTCTAGAAACCCAGCAGGTTGCTTTACGGCCACAGCTTGCTCCAAAGCTCTCTGAGTAGCATCCTCTTTCACACAAGAACAGCAGGCTCATTCAGTCTGGGGAGATAGACTTTAGAGGTACAGAAATGAAAGAAAAGGGGTGAGTATTAGGAAGAGTAAGCTGGGCAAATGGGCCACATGTGCAGGTCCATTAATAACTTTAAACAGAGCTGACTGCAGTTACTCTCATGACATTTCTGGTTGTTGTTGGCTAGTTTCATTGGCCTTATTTTTAGTCATGAAAAGGTTTATATAATTGCACAAGGGTGAAAAAAGATTATAAAAATGGCCTCATTGCCTCACTTTCCTCTACTTCATATACACTGCAGCCACATCAAAAATGCCAGCATCTGAGTATCTTTCAAATTTGTATAAATTCTGTTTTCAGAAAGAGTGAATTACAAAAAAGACACTGAAATATCCCACAAAGCTGACTTTTTTTTTTTTCACAAATAAGAAGTTAAAAACAGAATTGTACAGCAATGGAATAGTAACAAAAAGGACACTATTATAAATCACAATATTTGTAAAGGTTTATTAAAAATCAGTGCTTAGGAATTGATTTATCCTAACCATAAAAATGTGATTCAATAAATACATCTATTTATCACCACATAATCTATGTTCTAGGAGTAGACACAGTTTGAAAGAAATAGAATTCATAAAATATACAGTATGCCATCAGGAAAGTGAAAAATCTTCCATCTAGCAATAAAAATAACCAAATGTGAGGTATATGTTAAATTATACAAAAGATATTAAGAATGAATAGCAACTGTTTCACATTTATAAGTTTTTTATTCACAACTTAAATTTGTTTATACTATTATTATTACTATTATATTTTTGGCAGTATTGGGGTTTGAACTCAGGGCCTTGTGCATACTAGGCCAGCATTCTACCACTTAAGCTACAACTCTAGCCCTACTCACCAGTTAAATTCACAATGATGCCATAAGGGGTACTCAGTAGAATACCTGTCACAAGAGGCCAACCATGGTTGTGCTTGGCTATAAGCCCAGCTATTCAGGAGGTGGAGATGGAGAGGATCAAGGCCCAAAGCCAGTCTAGGCAAAAAGTTAGTGGATCCCATCTCAACAAAACAAGTGGGGCATGGTGGTTCAGGCCTGCAATCCCACCTATTGCAGTCCTAGGGCCGCAAAAAATGAGATCCTACCTGAAAAATAACTACAAGGTAAAAGGGCTGAGGGTCTAGCTTAGGTGGTAGAGCACTTGCCTCAAGCATAAGGCTTTGAGCTCAAACCCCAGTACCTACAAAAAAAAATATTAATAAAAAGAAAACCTGTCACATAAGAGCTACAATATAAAGAATGCTAAGATAACTGCCCTCTGTAACCATTGCCTTTGTGTAATCTGTTCTCCTTGTGTGGGACTGGGAAGTGTAAATTTGATGAGCTATCATTCCCATGAATATGTTACATATGGCAAAACGCAGATTATTCTGGGTGGGCCTGGCCTAATTAAGTAAGCCCTTTAAAGCAGAGATTTCTCCAGCCTTCAAAGAAGGCAGTTACTCAACACGAGAATGTCTCAGTGTATCACTGCTGGCTGCAATAGAGGGGTCCAGATAGAAAGGAAGTGGTGGCCCCTACAGACTTAGAGTGATTATTAACTGACAGCAAGAAAATGGGCATTTCAGTCATATAGACATAAGGAACTGGATTTTGCTATAGTTTGAATGAACTTGGAAGTGGCTTCCAGTTAGGAACTCAACCTGGCCAACACCTTCATTCTAGCCTTGCGATACCCTGAGCAGAAAATTCAACCATGCTGGGCTCTCAATCTACAGAAGTATGAGCTGGGAAGTCAGTATCATTATAAGCTGCTAAATTGTCCCCCACCTTGTCTGAGGTCCTGCTTTTCATGATTTCAGTTATCTACAGTTGGTAAATTCCAGAAAGAAATAATTCATAAGTTTTAAACTGTGTGTCATTCTGAGTAGCATAAGCAAGTCTGTGCTGTCCCACTCAGAATGTGAATCCTCCATCCGTCCAGCACATCCATGCTGTATATGCTGTATAAGTGACAGTCACTTAATAGACATCTTGGTTATCAGATGACTGTCACACGATTACTTAATAATGGTCTCAAAGCACCAAGACTATGGATGCTAGCAACTCGAATTTTCCAAAAGAAATCCATAAAATGCTTCCTCTTTCAGTGAAAAGGTAAAAGTTCTCCACTCAATAAGAAAAAAAATGTATTCTGAGGTTGCTAAGATCTTGAGTAAGAATGAATATTTTATCAGTGAAATTGTGAAGGAAAAAGAAATAGCTAGTCTTGCTATTGTAACTCCAATTCCAAGTTATAGCCACATGGTACACAGTTACCATGAAAAAGGCATTAAATGTGTGATCTATTTATGAGAAAAACAGCATATATAGGGTTCAGTACTGTCTGTGGTTTCAGAACATATCCCCCAAGAATAAGGGGGAGAGAACTGTAATCTGTTACAGAGCAATAGAAAATGAAAACAATTGCTAAATACAAACTGGAAAATTCTTTCTCAAACAGATTGCCAGTATTCATTCCTAGTGCCATTTCTTCAGCACTTACATAAGCAGTGGTATTTGCATTTCTGTAGTTGCAGATCTGCTAATCATTGTTTCAGGTCATAAATACAAGTCAGACCCCTCAGTCCTGCAGTTTTAGGGACTGAAACCAGCTTTGATTTCTAAAACTAACAGTGCCTTCAGGGGCAGCAGCATTTATCCATTTTTCATGTTTGTCCGCTTGATTCATGAGTCCTGAAATACGAAGTTACATAAAATCATGCCTCATGGAACAAGAACAATATTCAACATAGCAATTTATCTTCAAAGTCTAGAAATACCTTAGACGGCCAAAAAAACCTTAGTTCAGCTAGTTTGAGTTGGGAGAGAGCTACACAGAGGTTATGTGAGCTTGTTTCCCTACTTTCATTTCCTAGAACAACTCTGAGAAGAAGCTACTCTAGTTTTTATTAGTAATATTTTTAATGTAGGTTTTTTAAAAAGAGAGCTTTACTGAAGTATAATAGACAAAAATGTTATATGTTTGAAGTGTACAATGTAGTAAATTTTGGCATATGTAAAATTCTGTGAAACTATCTCCTCAATCAAGACAATGAACACATCCATCAGTCCCCAAAGTTTCCTTGTACCCCCTGGTAATCTTTTAATCATATCCCTGTTACAATTTGGATCTGGACAGTCCCCCAAAGGCCTAGGTGTGGAGGGTTTCATTCTCAGCTTTGCAGTAAGAGGAGGAGCCTCACGGGAGGTCTTCAGGTCATGGAGGGTGGCCCATGAAGGGGACAGTAGGGTCCCAGACCCTCCTCATTCTTTCTCTTTTTTTTACTTCTTGGCTAAGAAGTGAATATTTTTGCTTCACCACTTTCTCCCTTCTATGTGCTGCTCTCCACAGGCCCCCAAAGCAATGGGGCTACAGACTGGAGCTTCCAAAACTTTGAGCCAAAATAAACCTTTTCTCTTTATAAGTTGATTATCCCAGGTTTTTGTTACAGTATGCACTGACTTCCTTTGGATTTTTCCCTTCTACTTCTCTTGCTATATTTTCAGTGTGATCAAGACTCCACTTTCTACTAGTTTTGTGAAACTGGTTAAAATCTCTTATTCCACTCAGCAAATCCTGTGTTAGAGGCTTCCCTTTTTTAATCCAACTCTTCATCAGTGGACTTCGGCTTTGTCGAGTTTAAGCTATTCTTTTTTTGCTGTGCTGCACTTGATAGGTCAGGATTTTGAGGTACCTTGCACCCAGTGATTTTTCCATAATAGAGAATTTCTTTTTCTAGTAACTCAAACATGGAAAAAAGAACTGGAAATCCTTAACTTTTTGTGCTGTTGTTTAACATCAGCACCAATAACAAAGCATCCACAATAGGAAGGTTTGCCTAAATATCTGGAATCTTTTCCTGAACAGATCACTCAGCACTTCCCCAATCACACGTGTCTTGCTTCTACTCATTTCCCTCCACAGCAGGACAGGCCGAGCACAGTGCCATTGCTCATAACATAAGGAACGAGATTTTTCAGCTTAGTAACCAAGCTCAAAAGGCAAGACAGTTTACAAAATGCCCTTTAAACTGCCAGAAAACAACTTTCTCTATCTTGCTAATAAGTAATTTACTGAAAGCTCTTGGTACTTTGGCCTGAATCTGTGGAGACTCCATTCTCATTTGCAAAGTTAATAAATCCTTCCTACAAAAGTCTTACAACACATATTGGTACTTGGGGTTCCAAAACCTTGTTCATTTATTTCTCTCTGCCTATGAAAATGAGACCAATTTTCTTTGCCCAAGAAATGGGAAAATGACTACTGTATCTGTCTGCAGTGTGGCTTCTATTAAGTGGGAGGAAATGTTCCCTAATGACGTGTTTAATTCTGCCATTTGCTCTCTATACACTTACCCCAGATCTACCCAACTACAGAAATCGCCAAGTTCTTTCAACTTAACCTAAAACATACCTGGTCTAATCAGCACTAGGTAATAGACAAAGAGGGCTCTGGGAAGGAATTTGCAGAATTTAATTCTCTTGTTTAAAAATAGGATTAAAAATGTTCTTGGTTAGGTGAATTTCTTTCTGTCTTCCTCCCTCGCTCCACTCCTAACCCTGTAACAGAGTTTGTTTATTGACATTTGGTTGGGAGAGCCCTGCTTCATCTGCTGCTGTTGCTGCCTCGTTTGCAGTTTTAAATTACACCTCAGTGCCTGAGGGCTGGCGATTCCCTCATTAACATTAGAAATGCAATTGAGCAGGCAGTAGCAGAACCACCATACTGAGCATTTTAGGAAGGTTCAGAAGATGTAAAAGACAAATCAATTCCCTCATAAAGTTTACCAGCTGGCTAGGGAAATAAATCATACTTTTGAAAAAACATGAAAACAATTACTCCGAACATCTATTATTTTAACACATACGTTTCCTAAATGAAACCTCTAACAACACATACAATGGCATTCCAAAGTACAAATATTCTACTTTTGTCAACATCAATAACAAGTCTTCTCTCAATAAAAGCACAACCCAAAGATATTTTGACTGGAAATCTTATTGACAAAAAATATTTCTGAACTAGTTTTAATGGTACCATTCATGAAATTTTTCTCTCAAATACCTGAAATAATAACAAAGCTAATAGTAATCTGGTCACTGAGCAAGAATTCAATTTAAATTCTGTCCAAGAAATAATCTTATAAAGACTGTCCTTAAATCTTTTCTTCTGCAATGTCTAATCCCATCAATTGTATTTTTCACCCCAGACATTGTAGCTTTCATTTTGAAAAATGCAATTTTGGTCTTTTTTATATTTTCTGCATCTTAACTTTTTGAACATATGGAATACAGTTGATACATGATAACTATTTTAATTTCTTTCTCTGCTAATTCTAACATCTGTGTCAGTTCTAGGTTGTTTCAATTGATTATTGTCTTCATTATAGGTCATGTTTTCTTTCCTCTTCAAATGTGTAATAGTCCCTGAATTAATGTCAGACACTGTAAATTTTATTTTATTATGTGCTAAATACTATTATATTCCCATAAATCTTGAGCTTTGCTCAAAAATGCAGTTAAGTTACTTGGAAGCAGTTTAGTTTTTATGATTTGTTAGGCAGTTCTGGAGTGGTGGTCAGTTTAGGACTACTTGTCCACTATGAAGTGCTCTACCTAAAACCCCATGCGTTAATGATTTTTGCTAATCTTATGGGTAGAATAGGTGTTATTCCTATACCTGTGTGAGCACCAAGCTCTCTTCTCTCTGGTACTTTGTCCTATGAACTCTAGCTGTCTTGGTCTCTGTGTACTCTTGATCTCCTCAACTCAAGGATTCTGCCATCTATGCATCAGCACAAAACTGAGAATCAAAGTTCTCATAACAATTGAGAATGTAGTCAGGCTTGATGGCACAGGCCTGTAATCACAGCTATTCAGAAGGTGGTGGAGAAGGATTATAACAGTTGGAGGTCAGCCTATCCAAAAGATAGAGAGACCCTATCTCAAAAGAAAGTCAGTGTGGTGGTGCATGCCTGTGGTCACAACTACTCAGGAGGTGAAGACAGGAGGATTGGGTTCAAAAGTGCAAGACCCTATCTGCAAAACAAACTAAGAAAACCGAAAGGACTGGGACATGTCTCAAGTGGTAGAGCACTTGCAGGCCCTGAGCTCAATCCCCACTGTGGGGGTGGGGGTGGGAATGCACTCCCAAAGAGTACACACCAAGTACAGATTTTTTAGTAGGTAAATATTTCAGTTTGAGCAGTCCAGGGCTTTCTTTTGACCTTGGAACAGCACATGATGCTTGTAAATTGTTGTAAGAATTATACAGCTGGGAGTTATTTATCAGTGACAGCAATAGCAAGGGAAACCATGGAGCAGGAAATCAAATAAAATTATAGGGTGACACATCGAAACCCTGTGGGAAGCCTGAGCCCGGGAGACTGAATTTTATTGTCATGGCTTCTTGTCAAAATTACCCAGAAGAAGTCATGCTACAGATGACTTAGCAATGAAGGCAGTATTTGTGTTTCTGTGCCTCACAGGCTCTATGAGGTAGGACCAAATGAGCTGAGCTCAGCTGCTTATAATAACAATTCATATAAAGCTGCTCATTACTTTTAAAATTAGGTTTCAGATTGGAAATCTCCAAAGGAAAAAGCAATCTGCTCTGATTTTCTGAGCGGCTTAAATTATTTCATCTACTTGAGAAGTAAGGACTGTAGCCTTTTGGGGACCAAACCATTTAAAGAATCAAAATATGAGAGTTTCTCTTAAACCCAAGCACTTGTTCCTACAGCTCCCTGCAAGGGAAACTGCTGCTTCTTCACCCCAAGGACCCTCTGTACTATCCCTCTAGTGCACTTATCAGAGACAACACCCAGATCCAGCTGGAGCCCAACCTCATCGGTGTCCTCTGGTGCTCTACAGAAAGAATCTACTGAAGAGTACCTTGAGTCCTGCAGGAGAGGACTCTTGCTCCTGCAGTTTGGCCCTTCCTGGAAGTAGGGACAGAGTGCATGACTCAACAACAACACATGAAAAGGACTAATAGGCTAAGGAACTTCATAATAACCAATGATGTGGCAGGCACCTTCCTCAAAGCATTCATTTGCCTTCTGCAACCAAAGTTTGTTGAAGACCTATTTGTTTGCTGAGTGAGAACTAACTCACCGTAGAGTTCAGGCCACTGTGTTTTTCTCCTGAGTTATTGCAGTCACCCGTTAATTAGCTTTTCCCTCAACCATCATCTTTTTCCCCAATCTATCTCCACTCAAAATCAAGGTCACCTTTCTAATACACAAATCTGAACCCCAGGTTAAAACTTTTCAATGGCTTTGCAGTGGTCTTAATATAAAGTCCAAATAGGCTCTAAAGGAGGAAGGTGACCTCTCCCAAATTCTCCAGCTTCCTTTTATGCCACTTGCCCCTTTGTTCTCTGTACTCTGGCCATATTTGGCTCTCACTTCCTCAAACTCATAATGCTAGTCTAATTTAGATGTGCCCCTACACTCTCACAGAACCATGCACATAACTTTGTCATAACATTTATCCCAGTGTACTGTACACACTAGTTTGTCTTTCCTAAGTTGAATGTAAGACCTGTGGAGGGAGAGAGAACATGTTTTATATTACCTTTTCACTCTTAACCTTCTAACAGTGCCTGACTCCATAAACATTTGTTGAGTGATAAACCAAATAAAGAAAAATAGGGAAGATGGGAGGAGAAAAGATAATTTAAGAAAATACATGTATTAAGTTAGAGATGGCACTGGTTTATTGGGATGGAAATAGACAATAATAATAAAGAGATCACATCTGTGAATATTGATTTAGAAGTATATGTGTAGAAATAATGGCTGAAGTCATGAGAGTAGGAGTTTTAAATTAAATTTAAATTTCAAAAAGGCATATGATTCTATGGGTAGCAGAATGAAAATCTGACATAGAAACTTTGATTTATAATTCAAACAAGCTTATCCATGTAATTTGTGTGATGATTTGGCATACCGTTAAACAAGTTGGTATTGTTGCTTTAGATTACTAGGACTTAGGTAGCTCTCTTGGTTCTTTATCAAGATTAAGAAATTAGGTCACAAATTCGTTCTTACCACATTTGATATACTCAGACTTATATCAGGTAACTAAGTCTGCCCATTAGTCATTGAGTCATATTTGAGAATATATAGGTATTATTTTTATCACTATTATGTTTTTTGTTGATATTCTATGATTTTTAACAGATTGTTTCTTAACTTTCATGACATATAAAATGAACACTTAAAACAGAACCTTCATCTTAGGAAAGCCTAATCTTCCCTCCCTGCCCCCCACCCACTTCCTTTTGCCCATGTACATAGTATAATTTCAGTGGCCCTCTTGACACTATTCTGATGAACTTTGAATTTCACCACCACCAATTTTAGTAGGCATTAAACAATATACACTTAAGAAAATAGCATCAGCTAGCAGTGTAGCTGGGTGTAATGAAAACTGCACGAAAGCCATTCACATGGTGGACTGAGCATTAGCCATACTAAAGGAGCATGTTTACTCTGTACGCATCAAGCCAAGTTCCTATGTCATCATGCACAGTTAGCTTTAGTCTTTCATTATAATATATGTTGATTTTTAAGTTCAAGAATTAAGAAAGCAGCTATTCTAGAAAAAAATTTTAAATCAAACTTTATCTAAAGACATAACTAATGAGTATTCCTAAGTGATTTAACAAGGTCTTTTCAAACAAAATGTCTGCATCATGTTACTGATAAGCAACTAGAAGACAATAGTCTCACACACAAGCATGTGACAATAGAAAAGAATAGAAAGACTAACACTGCAGTGAACTATGCCACATTTCTACTCATCTGTGGCAATGGCAATTTATCACATGACAAAATGCAGCCTTCTCACCAGTAACTGTCACACCATCATTTTTATGATCCTCAGCCATTTCTTGAACACCGACTTCTGGGTTCACATCAACCTCTTTTCCTGATAACTGTAAGTAAGTTTGAAGAGAAGATGGGACCTTGACAATAACAGAGCCTGTGATAAATTTAAAGGAGAGCTTATTAATGCAAAGAAATCAAAGTACCAGAGTCTATATACATTTGATTGAAAAGAGTAGCATCAGGTTTGTTGTTTTTGTTCCTCAGGAGTGGTTTTCTTATTGCCACATGGTCAAGGTTTCCTTACTCTCAAGGCACACATGGTAACTTCTGTCAAGAGGATGAGGCAATAGGATGTATGAACTACTAACTCTTCTTTTGCCAATTGCCCTACCCAGCTCATTGATATCAGAAAAGGGGGTACTTTCCTACTCATGTAGCATAAAGATAGGACATCCTATTAATTGAGCATTTACTAAGAGCTGACCACTTGCTGCCCATGTCAACTTTATGAGGTATTATTATCATCCCAGTTATACTGATGAGAACTTGCTCAAGTTTCCACGAAAGCAAGGTAAGGTAAGTCCAGTACAAAGCCCATGCTTTCAACCACTATGGTATTTCACACATGAGTTATTTCACTTCATTGTACCACAGGACTTATGACCTCACTAATCATTACAACACAACTGAACCCTGAGCTCTTGTACTTTCATTTGTGCCTAGTATGTGAGAGAAAAATAACGGAAGAGATTATTCCAATTTCAGCTGACTAAGGTTTCTTTTTGAGTGGATTATAGGCTTTTATACCTAAGGCAAAACATTCAACTATATTTTCAGCACAATCTGGTGTAATTCAAGCTTCTAAAGGACTAAATGAGAATAAGTACTTTGGTGGCTATGGAATCATTTGTCAAAACAACTATGTAGTCTGCAGTGCAAATTTATCAGCATACTCCTATTTCATTAGTATCTCTGTTTTTCATCAAATAAAGTCAGTTAAGAACCCTCTGCCACAAAGCATTAACCCCATCTCTGTGGACAAAGACAGCCAGGATGACATCCACTGTGAATGCTGGGAAGATTCATGGTCATAGTTTTCCTTCTAAGTCTGTTTAACATCAGCGTATGTTGTCCTTAAGTAATTTCCTGTCTTCTCAGTCTTCCTAACTGAAGATGGAAGTTTGAGATAACTACTGACAAACTGTCATATTTATTTCTCTAAAGAAAAGAAACAAAGCACATCACAGTATCTAGCTTATTAAAAAAACAAATTGCTTTCCAGGGTTCAAATATAAAGACTGACAGGAGATTCCCCATAACAACAGATAGCAGGGCTTTAGGAAAAAAACAACCCTGCACATCTTCAGGATGAACAAAAGACACATGCTTTCCTATCAAACATACTTCTAAAAATAGAAAGTCACAGATTTAAAAACTTTTTTCCAAGGTCCTTATATGTCTAAATGTCTCAAATATGATAATCTTGAACACACTTTTCTGTTCTTAAATGAATAACATGATCTTCAATCTTTAAATCTTTAAAAACGTTAAGCAAATGCAAACAATTCCTTCCCCAGCTCCCTCCACATCTTTAAAAACAAACACCACTAAAACTCTGCCTCTGTAATGATGACTGTGCCTTGTAAGCATCCCTAACGTCCCATCCTTTAACACTAAGAACAGCTCCTGTTATATTGTTGACCTCTTTTACTTCATAAACTTCTGCATGGTTACTGACATGGATACTGTCCTCTTAGAAATTCACAAGTGAACTGGTACCATTAGTGCCACTTACTGAAGGCATGCTAAGTGAACAGTGATTTTCCCAAGGACATCATTTAGTGAAAGTCAGTACTCCATGCAGAGCTGACTCCCAAGCCCAAACACAGCCTTTCTGAATGAATGAATAATGTCATCACATTCACTTTCATAAGGACAGAGAAAACTAGCAAGCAGGAAACTTTTGTTTTTTAATCACATGGTAAATTGGTAAAGATCTAAGAGACTCAAGTGGCAAGACAGTGGCAGAGCACGGATGGATTCCAGATGTCTTTACTAAACATTAAGCAGCATAATCTTGAATAACTTTCCATTACTCTAAAAGGTTACCACTCCCAAGTGTAGTGAGAATTAAGACATTAGAAGATAGAATCTTCGTTTCCAGTCATCTTAAACTTCTGCCAGTAACATAGTCCCAGTAGAAGAAAACACAAACTGTAATCCTAATCAAATTTTGCAATAGTTTGCTGGAACAACATTCCAATTATTACTGAAAAATATTTATAGTGAATAAAGTGTGATAATCTTCAAAAGTTTTAAAGGTTTTTGCTTTGTTTTGCTTTTCTGTCCATCATACATCACACACAAAAGGAAATAACTTTCATGTAAGACCTGCTTATTCTAAACTTTGTTTTTCACTCTGTTCCTAGTTACATTAATGGTTTATGGTTTTTCTCTCTGGGTCTTCATAAGAGAGTGCAATTATATGACTTACAGGGCATTTATAATTTACTCTGATGGTATTATTGAAGCTCTTAGTAGTTTAGCAAGGACATGGTAATACCCTATTTCAAAGAAAAAAATGTGATCTTGAGAAATGACACCTGTGTGTCAGCAATAACTTCAGTTTCAGATGTCTAGGCTTTGTAGTTCTGCTTTGACACTTTGACAAGAAAGCCTAGTTAGATAAAAATTATTACATGGAAGAAATTATTAATAGCAAGAACAACCAGTCTCTGTAAGGAAATACTTACCTTGTTATATACTCAGCTCTCTTCCAGCCAACATGTAAGAACTTCTGGATTTCATCTTTAGGAAGTTATTTTTTAATTGTTTGATACAGGGCTACAGCACTTAACTTTCTGCACCCAGGCCACTTTAGCCCCTGTGACCAAACTAGTCCACCCAAGTCACTTGTCACCACAAATTCATACTTAGTGTTCAGATGAATTTAAAAGTCTACCATTTTAAATAAAGTGCTTGGACTCTTAGAATAAATTACTTATATGAGAAATTAAATTATATAGAGAGATAAATCATAAGTGTTGGTATTTCAAGAGACTAAGTCAACAATTGCTTTAGGGACTTCCATGGTTCTACCTTTCTTTCAAATTACTGCTCTCCAAAGACAGCCTAAGAGGTCCTCTCACAGGCTGGGAGAAAGTACCAGTTTAGGGAGCATTTTCTCACCAAAGAATATTCTGTTTCAGACATGACTAAACTGAAATATCAACTCAGTAACATTAAAAATTCTACTGTAACAGTCAAAATACAATGTTTTTGTTTGTACTACAAATGGAACGATTGTCTTTGTGGTCATCTGCCCCAAAGTGGTAAAGATTCTTGGTCTGCAGGGCTAGGAGACCAGTCTTTAAATCAAGTTCTAGCAGAAAAAAGTTTCTTGAAGTTACTATGTAAGTATAGGTAATTTGATCATCTGTTTCAGGAGTGTTACATATAACCTTTCTTATACCACATGTCAAAAATATAACATTCCAGCTGGCTGACCTTTGTGTGATTTCAATTGCACTTTCCCCAGCTGGCTGACATAAACATCTATGGCACCCTGATGAGTTGAGGCCTGTAGACATCCAGACGAAGAATCTGAGAGGAAGGGAAAAATCCTAAGTATTCTTACATGAGTAAATGCAATTATAATTCTTGCAATAAAAGGTTCTGCTTTAACATTAACATAATAAGCTAAGAATCTTGCAACGTTTTGTATTTTCCTCATAACAATGTCACCGTTTTTACTAAAATGTACACAATATCACAAATCTAGAAACCTAAAAAAAGTATAGAGTAACTTGAATAACTTACCTCTAAAAATTTATTTCATAGGAAGGACAGAATGCAAGCAGTAGATCCTTGATAGCCAAAACATTAAGCACCTTTGATATATTGTTTTTTTTTTAATTTTTTATTCATTTATTTACATGTGCATACATTGTTTGGGCCATTTCTTCCCCCTGCCCCCTGTCCCCTCCCTCTCTCCCCCAACCCCCTCGCTTCTAGGCAGAACCTGTTTTGCTGTTATCTCTAATTTTGTTGAAGAGAAGACATAAGCAATAATAACACAAAGCATTTTTGCTAGTTGAGATAAGGATAGCTATACAGAGCGATTCCTAGCATTGCTTCCATGTACAAATGTGTTACATCCCAAGTTGATTCATCTCTACCTGACCTTTTCAGTAGTTCCTGATCCCCTTCTTATATTGACCTCTGTCGCTTTAAGGTTTCTGTATTAGTTCCTCTGCAGTGGGGACATCAAACACTTTCATGTTTTGGGTTTCCTACCTATCCCCATACCTCCCATATGTGCTTTCCCTTTGTCATGTGACCTAAGTCCAACCACATTGCCGTATTTGCCCTAGATCTAAAGTCCACATACAAGGGAGAACATACGATTTTTGGTCTTCTAAGCCTGGCCAACACCGCTCAAAATGGTGTTCTCCAGTTCCATCCATTTACTTGCGAATGATAAGATTTCATTCTTCTTCATGGCTGAGTAAAACTCCATTGTGTATAAATACCACATTTCCTCAACCCATTCATCTATAGTGGGCCATCTTGGCTGTTTCCATAACTTGGCTATTGTGAACAGAGCTGCAATAAACATGGGTGTGCAGGTGCCTCTGGAGTAACCTGTGTCGCATTCCTTTGGGTATATCCCCAGGAGTGGGATTGCTGGATCATATGGCAGATCTATGTTTAGATTTTTCAGAAGCCTCCAATGTTTTTCCAGAGTGGTTGCACTAGTTTGCTTTCCCACCAGCAGTGTACGAGGGTTCCTTTTCCCCCACAACCTTGCCAACACCTGTTGTTGGTGTTGTTTTTGATGATAGCTATTCTAACAGGGGTGAAGTGGAATCTTAGTGTGGTTTTGATTTGCATTTCCTTTATGGCTAGAGATGGTGAGCATTTTTTGATTTATTTTGTTTACTATTATATTGATAAATTTAGTAAGCTTCCAATATTTACAAAGAATTCTACCTTGTGCAATCATATATAACAGGAACAAAGTCAGGGAAAATCAAACCTCACAATTTTTCCATTTAGCAAATGTGCTAGTAATAAAAAAGTGTCCATTATCGTACAAGATTACTCCACATAAGGTTTTATTGCATTTCTTAGAGTGACAGAAAGAGGTATGTGGGGGTGGGGAGAATCATTGGAAGACTGAGGCTTGTTTTGTTTTGTTTTTTTATCTAATATTTAATTCTAAGTTTCTGGGAATTGAATAGATATCTTTAAGTCAGGTTAAGAAAATAATAATTAAGGTAGTCCTTACTTGACACTCAAATTTCCGTATGTTGCCAGTGACCCCAGTTTTTAATCAATTAATATTTTAGTCCAAGGGGAAACTGAGAGGTGGAGATAAGGAAGAGAATGTTCTGAAGAGTCAGTGTGAAGCGCTTTCTTCTTCCCTTTCCCCCATAGCAACTGAAATTTCAGTTTATAAAATATCTGAGTGCCCTGAGGTCAAGGCATATTCTTTGTAGAGAAGCCTCTTTAAAAACTGTATTTTATCAAGAGCTTTTATTACTGCAATATAGAAGTAAAGTAAGGATTACATGAAAAATTATACGTTTTACAAAATGTGGAGAGAAAATATTTGTATATGCACAAAGAAGCCAGTATTTAAAAAATTTTAAATGACCTCAAACAAAGCAGTTTTGGAGTAGACTATTCAAAATCTAGCACCAAGATCCTTTGTAACAATTTGCCCCAAATTGTTATTGTTATATTTTGGCATAGGCCAAAAATGCCCATGACCAGACCCAATTTATTTAGTTTTCAGGTGTCAAAGGTGAACACTGACACTGGGAAATGAAGCCACTAGATAAAGGACATGAAATAGCTGGGAAAGGCAGCTATCTCATTGCTTAGACACCTGCAGAAGCTTCTTGTAAACTCTTCTGCTGCATCCTAATGAAGCAAGTAAAAAAAAATTAGGGTTTTAAAAAATCATGGGGACTACATTATGGGTACATAGATTATCTCATGTTGAACAAAGTGAAATATTTGAAAATTAGTCTGATTTTTCTTGCTTTCTCTGGGGGAAAATAACCACAAGATGTTATGTGGCTTATAAGCAGTACTTTCACTTCTCCCCTCTATGGGAAATAACTAAAGAATTACATCCTAAGCCACAAAGTACTGGTGTCTTTATGTTATTGGTCTTGAGCTCTGATGATAACTCATCCCCTGCAGGCTGTTAAAAAATTAAAACTCAAGATGTGTGAAAAGAGAAACAAGAAACAATATTTAAAAGCTATATGGCAAAACAAATCCTAACTTTTCTGTAATACGAATTATTGGAACTAAACTTAATCGTCAAGAATAAAATTAAAGCTTCACCCCACAGAATTTCATGTTTTGGAAATCTACACAGTGGAGAAATTCTATAGATCTTGTAAAAGGCCTTATGGGAAATATGCAAGTGAACAGAAATCGTTAGAGCAGACATTGGTAGGTGTTAAGGGACTCCAACAGAGAATTATCTATCATTACAATTCTGGGCAAAGATTTTGGTCTGACAGAGACCAGAGTTTTCTTGGAAAATTATACACACAAAAGGGAAATACTGATGTTAAACACCAATTTACCACTATATGCAACCAAATAAACAGATATTTTATACACACACACACACACACACATATAGTTAACAGAAGAAAAACATAGTTGAAGGGCTAAATTTCCAAAATTTGCTCTTTTCCTTTAGAGAAATGGAAAACTTCCTCAAAATTGATCAAGCATGTTCAATGACTGTACACTTTAGGTCACTTCATGTTTTGTAAATTGATGTCCTCTCTAGGTATTCTGTACTAGAACAGAGCAAATAAGAGACTGGGATTCTGAAAGACATGTGATACATTTCTCTCTCTCTCTCTCTCTCTCTCTCTCTCTCTCTCACACACACACACACACACACACACACACACACACACACACGATCACACAATGCTTGTTTTTTTTTTTTTAAGATACAATTACCAGTATATGGCTTCTGACAATGTCTTTGAAAAGAGGCAAGGAAACTACTGCTAGGTGAGCAACTCTATAAGCATTCCTACCCCACCATTATCCACTACAAGCAGTGCTTTCTCCTCTTTCATCATTTTAATCAGAGGACAGCCTCCTGTTCTAGAAGACAGATATTATAAATGCTTCAAAATCTAAAGCTTTCTGAATGCTAATAAGATTCTGTGAGTAGAAAATTCCACACCTCATGACCTCATATGATGAGATGAGTCAAGATACAGGTACACTAAAGATATTATAGAGAACAACGTACTGGCTGTGTGTGTCAGGTACATATGAAACAAATGAACTTCATGTTCAGACTTGGGTCTCATCTCAAAGATACCACATTATATATATGCAAAATTCCAAAACCAAAGAAATCCAAAATCTGAAACACTGTGGTTCCAAGCGTTTTGGATAATACCCAGCCTGTATTTTAAAATGTTAAAAATACAGGTTATAAATCTGTGTCTTTTAAGAAGAAATGAAAAGTACTAGAAATAGTAAATATCTAATATAATAGCAAATATAAATACATAGACATAAAAATGATTTCCTCTTAAATTCTACAAAATACATTTGACAAGTATAAAGTAAATCACATCACTACATTATGGTATTTATATAGATGTAAGAGCCTATACAATACTTTGGTATACTTCTAGTTATATATCTAAAGGAAATAAGTATCTCAAAAGTTTTCTACACTTACAGTAAACATTGTAGCATAATTTACAATATCTGAGACATAGAAATGACCTAAGTGTCCATCAATGGAATGATGGACAAATAAACTATGGTATATGTATGTGATGAAATATTATTCGCCTATGAAAAGAAGCAAATTCTGCCACTGTGACAACATGGATGAATCTTGAGAGCATCTTCATGAGTGAAGTAAGGGAGACAGATAAAGAAAAATTCTGCATGGTCTCACTTATATATGCAATCTAAAAAAGTTGAACTCGAAGGTAGTTACCAGGGGCTGGTAAAGCAAGAAAAAGAAATACATGTTGGAAAGAAAGTAGCCAAACTGTTTTTGTTTACAGATGAAATGACTGTTTATGTTGAAAGGTTTTTAGATTCCAGAAAAATCAGTTACAAGAAATTAGTGAATACATCAAGGTCACAAGATACAAGATCTATGGATAAAAAAGTCCACTGTGTTTTCATACACTAGCAGCAGAGAGAAGGTAAAAATCTAGAAACTCTACTTATAATACCCAAACCACAATTATCTTAACAAAAGATGTGCAGACCTGCACACCAAAAGATACTAAGTGATGCAGAGAGAGGTTAAAGGAGAAATAAATAAAGGGAGAGTTACACCGTTTTCATGAATGGGAAGGCTGAGTGTTGCTTAGAGACTGTTCCCTCCAAATTGCTTGTAGGTTCAGTGACTTAGTGCAATCCTAAACATAAGCTCAATTGGATTTCTTATAGAAACTGACTGGAAAACCACGGGAACTATAAGACTCAAAGCAATCTTAAGAAGAGTAAGTTTGGAAGACTTTGACTACCTGATTTAGAGACTGATGATTGTAAGATGGCAGTAATACTGTGGCACTAGCCCAAGGCTCAACAAATAAGTCAATGGATCAATGAAACAGGAGAATTCAGCAACAGATCCACACTTACAGTCATTTGATTTTAGATGAAGATGCCGAGAAAGGTTTTTTACAACAAATGGTGATGTAACATCTGGCTATTTGTGTGGGAAAAAATGAACCTTGACTCCTAACTCACATTAAACACAAAACAATAGAAATGTATCAAAAATTAAGCAAAAGCTTTTATAAAGCTGCTAGAAGAAAACAGAAACAAAAAAATTAAAATATTATCATAAAATATACCGTTAAGAAAATACACAGGCAAGCCATGGACAGAAAGAAAATATTTTTAAAAAGTGTCTGACTTTGCTTTTGAAAGTTGCTGTAAAAAAGAAAAGAAAAAGCATCTGATGAAGGACCTAGCATATAAAAGGAACTCTTACAACTTAATAATAAAGACAAATAACTCAGTCACAAAATAAGTGGGCAAGAGATATGAGCAAAAACTTCACAAAGGAAACATACTAACGACTGAAAAATATATGCAAAAGTACGGACCATCATTAGTCATTAGGGAAATGTAAATTAATACCAGAGCTATACTGTCTGCACACCACAGTGGGTTAAGTTGAAAACACTGACAATAATTAATATTGGTGAGGATGTGGAGCAACTAGAATCCTCAGACATTGTTGATAAGAATGCTGTAAAATGAAATTTTGAGGAAAGAGTTTGCAGATCATAAGATTAAACATAACCTAATATATGTGTGTGTATGTGTGTATGTGTATAAATATATATGCCATGAACGTTCTTATGTAATAGCTTGTATGGGAATGTTCACAGCAGCTTTATTTACCATTGCTAAAGATTAAAAACAGTCTGGGTGTCCATCAATGGGAGAATGGAAATACAAATTCAGCTTTTTGGAAGCTTGCTTTCACTTCTGCACATTTCTAGTACATGCTAAAAGAAGTTAGGCTGCCCTTTTAAAAATATAAACCAGTCCTCTATTAAGGCCCTGTTCTAGTTAAATAAAGCCCCTACCCTTACCATAGCTCCAGTTCTAAGATCTAGTCTCACTTGGTCTCCCACCACTTTAAACACAATCCTTCCATCTATACCTTGAAAATGGTAAACTCATTTCCATTTTTAAGGCTCACACTTGATCTTCCTCTATATGGAAGCTCTGTATCCAGAACTTTACAAGCTTCTTTGACATTATTCTGGCCATAGTTTAAACATCCCCTTCCCTCACCCTTCCTGATCGTGTAACTGAAGTAGCTTTCTTTTCCCCCAAGCAATCTCTACCCTGTTACCCTCTTTTATTTCTTCACCTCACAGGGATCTGAAATTACCTTTTGTTATTTACATGTTTATCACCATTCTTCCCGGCACTTGGAGAAGGTGAGGTCTCTGAGCGACAGAGACCATGTCTTGTCAACCAATATATCCCCAGGAGCTAAAAGAATTCTTTTTTTGCTACATTTTTTATCATATTATTGTTGTACTGGGGGCACATTGGTGACTTTTACCAAAGTTCTTAAATTAAGTGAATTTACTCTCTGCATCATTCTCCTTATCCCCCCATTTCTTCATTTCCGGAATAGTTTCAACATCTCGTTTTTCCACTTTCATGTATGAGTACATAATATTTCTACCACATTCTCCCTCCCACACTCTTTCCCCCCTCTCACTGGTACCAAACCCCAGACAGGACCTGTTTTACCTTCCTGTCTTCCATTTTTGAAAAAGGTATTTTTGTTTGGTTAAGATAGCTGTATCTCAGCCATAAGAAAGAAGGCAGAATTTTTAAACCTGTTGAACTCACCATAAGAAGGGGACTAAGGTAGAAAAGAGAAAAATAGAGGAGATGAATTAAGTCGGGTTATAAAAGAATTCCTAACACACAGCAGGTACTCATAAATACATGTTGACTAAGAGGAAAGTTACTGGCCTACTCAGGATTGTCTTCAAATTTAACACAATATTGGGACCAATAAACACTGATATAATTTATAGATTTGAGGAACTCAAGGAATTTATACTTCTTAATGCCAGGCTCGGGTAATTTTCTTCGAGAGGACGTATTCCTACTTTGGGTCTGCCTATATTTGACTTGCACGTCAGGATCTTGTCAGGTTCATCAGCTTCACTGTATATTATAATGAAGCCTCACAAATATAGCTATTTTAAGAAGTAGGCAAGATTCACCAACTGGCATTTTAGAACATACCTACTGTGATGTTGCCCGTCTCACTTTGTAATATTATATTACCTGCGGAAAAGAAAAAGAGGAGGTCATTTGGGGGCTAATCTGGAAAGGTACTGTGCTGGATAGCTACAATATTTTTACACTGTTTGTTGTCAGCAATGTTTTCAGTGTTACAAATCCAGTCAGAGATTTAATTGTGGTTCTGAAGATGTAAGTAGCTTTAAGCATCTATGCAAACCCTTTCCCTCCATTCCCAATCCTTAAGCTTATAACATAACTGCAAAACAAACAACCATATTTCCTGGCAAGAGTGGAGGAAAAATAATACTTCTAAGGCCTATAAATGAAGAAAAAAATTACTCATGTGTACTCATTACACATTTTCAACCTAAATATCATTTATCTGACCACACAAAGCCAAGTTTTGGACCAAATAATACTAAAATGCTGTATGGAAAACAATAATTACTTTTTTTTTTCAGGTCAGTTGCCATGTCTGTCTGTTAGATTAAAATAGTGTCTGGGCCAAGAGTTGAAGTGGTCTGGGGGTAAGGGTAGCGCCTACATGGAGGTAAGACTAACAAAGAAAACCACCTTCAAAGTTTTCCACCTCTCAATGGAAATACATTTTCCAGTACAAGTATAAGATATTCCAACCAGCCTTCCTAGTCTTCTTCCTCTAATACCAAAAATAGTAGATTTTTTCTTCATGTGTGTAGGTAGATGTATAAGTACTCCTGGGGTCAGAAACTCATAATTACCCCACCAAAAATGAAAGCAATATTACCTTTTCCAACATAATTCTTTTTTTTCATAAAGTAAAGGAATAACTTTGGCCTCAGAATTAACCTAGGGTAATCTCAGTTCATACATTTTGTAAATACTGATGTATCAGTATCTGGGAAAAAGCATTCACCTACTCGTCAGATATGCCTGATCATGAAAACCTTTCTAAAGGTCCTAATATGCCATCATCCTTCATATATGAACAAGGGGTCCATTGGTGTAGGAAAAAAAAAACATGGGTCTTATGGAGAAGCCTGTAGAATTATTTTCAAGGTTCAGTAAGGTACACGCTGTGAGGATCTTGTTAAATGTGTATGTAAATATTGTTTCATTGGTGTGTTCCAATTTTCGAACCCAGTAAATAGATTCATCATTACATGCAAATAGTGGCCAAAGATCATACTGCCTCTCAGTATTCATGCCTTTGTATAGTCTCCTTGCTTCGTGTGGACTTCCTTCACTGGACCTTAGCAGCTTGCTTTTAGCAGAGAGAAGGGAGAAAAGTGATGGGATGTCACTTCTGAGATGAGGTCCTCTGTTGTTCTTATGGAAGCCAGCTGCCATGTTGTCAGCTGTCCTATGGTGGAAGAGCTCCATCTGGCAAGGAAATCAAAGAGGCCCCTGGCCAACAGGATCCAAACTGAATCCTGCCAACAACCACACGAGTGAGCGTGAAAGCACATTCTCTCCCTGGTGAACATTCAGATGAGCTCCCACCCTGGCTGATGCCTTGTGAGTGATCTTAAGGCAGAAAATCTAGATTCCTGACCCACCCAACAAGACAATAAATGCTTATTATTGCTTGGCAATTTTCAATTGCTATGTTCTGAGATAATTTATTGCAAAAGGCCAGGAATGTTGATGCACCCAAAATGGGGTGCTGTCATAATAAATACCTAAAAGTATGGAATGACTTTGTAGCTTGGTAGCAGGCAGAGGTTGGAAGGATTCCAAAGTGCATATTAGAGAAAGCCTAAATTGCCCTGAACAGACTGAGCAGAAATCTGGACATTGAGTATGCTTCACACAAGGGTCCAAAGGAGAAAGAAAAATGGCTTTGAAAACTGGAGGAAGGAGGATTCTTGGTAAGTAGTAGCAGAAACTTAGCAACACTATAACGTAAGGTAATGTGGGAAGTAAGAAATGTGCCCAAAGAACTCAATGATCCAAATATTTTTAAACAGATGCTGGCTGGTTTTTGTTTGTTTGTTTTTCCTTGCTGCATACAGTAAACTGCAAGGAGAGATAAACTGAAACTAAAGGAAGGACTATTAATGACTCTCAAATAAAATTTGAATACAGAGCACTGGTAAGACATGGCCTAAAAATGAAGGTGAGAGTGAATGGAAAACTTCTGTTAAGACCCCAGAAAAGGGCTGGCAGTGTGTCTCAAGTAGTAGAGAAAGTGGGTGCTGGTGGCTCACACGTGTAATCCTAGCTACTTGGGAGGCTGAGAATGGGAGGATGGCAGTTCAAGGCCAGCCAGCGCAAATAGTTCTAGAGACTCCATATCCAAAAATAACCAGAGCAAAATGGACTGGAGGTGTACATCAAGAGGTAGAGTGTCTGTATCGCAAGAGCAAAGCCCTGAGTTCACATCCCAGTTCCACAAAAATAGTGGTAGAGAAGCTGCTTAACAAGCACAAAGTCCTAAGTTCAAACCCCAGTACTGCCCACTCCCAAAAACCCCAGAAAATCAATTGTGGTATCTCATAGTATTAATCCCTTACAAAAAAAGTTCTTTAAAAAGATTAAATTGGTTGGGTATGATGGTTTATGCCTGTAATCCCAGCTACATGGACAGTAGCTCAGAAACCAGGAAGATCACTGTTTAAGAGTGGCCTGGGCAAAAAGTGACTGAGACTCCAGTTCAACAAATAAGCTGGGCATGGTGGTGCCTGTAATTCCAGCTATATGGGGTCATGCTAGAAGGATTGTGGTCTGAGCCAGCTCTGAGCAAATATACAAGACCTTATCCAAGAAATAACTAAAGCAAAAAGGGCTTGGGGCCATGGCTCAAGTGGTAGAGTGCTTGCCTAGCAAGCACGAGGACCTGAGTTCAAACCCAGAACTTCCTCCCCTCCCCAACCCAAAAAAAACTATTAAGGATACATATCCTCTCCATCAAATAGGCCTTCTGGAAAGCTTAATGATGCTCTACCTTAATATCTCTGCAGAAGCCCATATTTTGAAAAGATTTTTGGGGTATAGCTTTAATAGAACAAGTCCCAATGAGATTCACAAGACGCTGACAAAGTTTTTGAGAGAAATAAATCAGCAAACACTGCCAACTTGGACTGAAAGGGATGGTGACAGTACAATGCAAAGAGACTACTGGATACCCAATATTCTACTGGCACGAAGCAGACTAAGAAAACTTCTCAGCTGTAAAGATATACTACATTTCATAAAAAGCAAGGATGAATCAGAGGATGGAACCAAGAGCTCAGAGGGTAAAACCCAGAACCACAAAGAACCATTCCCAAGCCTGAGATCTATCAAAGAACCACCAATATTTGTACCTCCTATTTATCCCTTAGATGCCTGTCCTACCACCATAACTTAAGCGTGTGGGTGTATGTGAGTGGTGGTGGTGCTGTCTGTGGGGAATAGATAGCTTGTGTCTTTAGTTCACTGGTCTAAGGACTGAGAGGAATTGCACTTGAGCTGTACTTAAGAGTGGAGTTATACTGAGCAGACCCATCTATGATAGGAGAGATTTTGAGAGACATTCTTGGATTTGAGGTGCTGCATAATGGGATGATACCATTAGGAACCTTAGGAAGAAGGGAGTGTACTTTGCATGTAAGAGGGATGTTATGGTTTATCTCCCAAAGGCTCATGTGCTTAGAAGCTTAAGAACCTAAGTGGCAGTGTTGGGGTGGTAGAAACTTTAAGTAGCAGGGCATAGTGGAAGATAATTACATCAAAGGGGTGCCACCCTCATAAACAGACTAATGCTGGTCTTATAGAATAGGTAGAGTCTTGCAGTAATGAATTAGTTCTTGAGAGAGTGAGTTGTTGTAAAGAAAGGCCATCCCACATGCTTGGGTTCTTCTGCAAGGAGCCATTTCCATTTCCACTTCTCCACCATGTTGTGATTCAGCTTGGGGGCCTCATCATGACACTGGCACCATGCTGTTTGGACCCACATCTTTACTTAAAAGTACCCAACCTCAGGCATTTTGTTATAGCAATATAAAACAGACTAATACATGGGACATGAATAATTAATGAGCCAGAAGACAGAATGCCATATAAAACCTTATAAGTTATCTGGGAATATGTGGATATGCACATGAAAAGTTAAAGATTAGTATATGTTAATAATTATAACTTAACATCCTAAGTGAAGAGCACGAATTAGGTGCCATATCCTTTCAGAGGAAAGAAATCAAATGACCTGGCATGGACAGAGAGGGTAGTCATATAGAAAGTACCACTTGAGCTTGGGTTTGAAACATGGGTAAGATCTAAATATGCTAAGAGGGAAGATTCTGAAAGATTCTCTTTCAGAGAAATAGAATCACATGTGCAAAGGTAAAAAGGCAGAACTACATATACATGATTAAAACATAATATATGTTTTGCAGATCATCCATTTACAAGGAAATGAAGCTTTATAGTTTTATACTAGTCTCCAATGAATGCAATAAAAGTTACTCTTTTTAATGAAAATATGAACAAAAAAACCAGTTATGAGTGCTTGCGTTGAAAGTGAAGACGTCTCAAGAAAATAATGATTTTTAGAGCTAGAAAGCTAAAGTTTAGGTCCATAAAGAATGATTTCATAGTATAGTAGAATTTGGAGTTTCAGACAACTGAATGTTAGAGTGCTACCACACAGTAAAACACAATAGAACAAGAAACTATGGAAGTGAGGAACAAATACAGTAATAACTTTGTCAATACTTAATAAAACAGTAAACAAAAGCGTATTTTCAGTTTATACCAAAATATTTAGAAAAATCTTCATCCTAAACAGAAATATTCCCAAATCATTAGAAAATATGAAATGAACTCTTGACTCAAACACTTTGTGCAATGAAGCAAAACATGTAAAAGTACACAAATCAATAATGGAAACTATTAGCAAAACTTTCCTTATTTTGACGTCACCTATTTCAGCTCCAATCATTGAAAATAATTTTTAAGAATCAATGATTTGAGAATAGGTCTTAGTAAAAGCTTCTTTCTAGTAAAGCAGACAACATATGGTCTGTAATAACTATGTGTGCTTATGCTACTCTCAATTATGGAAGTTTTCCACAAATCCA